GCTTGCAGGTGCTTTAATCCACTGACCTATTTGACCAGCCCTCTGTTGGTCTCTTGGAGGGAGCACTTAATGCTTAAAATTTTTATTTTCACCAATTTTAGATGCTCATGTCTGGTCATCTGAGCAACTCCCTGAAGACAACAATGTGAAATATAATAAGTTGTTGAGTTCCTATCATCTTGTTGGTTTTTGTTTTGTTTTTGAAATTCTGTATCACTTCTAATGTTTTGTCTATTTTTTCAATTCTCTTTAAAAGAAAACAAAAGCAGAGAAAAAAATGAAAGACTTATAGAGCACCTCAAAAAAGGAAAGGACTGTTTACAGATAGAGTTAATTGAATTTTTCTCTAGAGAATAAACTGAAAAAAAATTTTACTTGAAACAAGAGGACAAAATTGGAAAACTTTCTTTCCACTGTAATCAATAAAATTCAAGCTAGTTTTGATGTGTGAAGCAAAAGATGAAATTTGAGGTAACGCAGCTGCACAGAGGGAAAAAGAGAGCTATTGAGACAGAAGCAAGGGAGCTCAACATTGTAGGAAACTTTTTAAGGAAAAGAAACGCAACGCTAAAAGTTGCCTAGGAAGATGGGGAGACCAGGAGTCACAGAGACATGCTTTAGTGATATGGACACACACAGAAGAGTTCTTCCAGCACACAAAGGAAAAGCACGGGCAAGGCTGGTAGCTGAGGAGGCCGCAGGAGAAAGTGAAATTCATGAAGAGTAGCTAATCCTAAAGGCAGCAAAGGTGGTCGGTGAGCCAGCGGAAACACAGTGGAGCTGAAGCTTGCCTAGGTGAAAGACCTGCTGCATGTAGATGTAGGAAACCACCAACCAAGGCAAGATGACTGAGGAGAGAATAGCATTTCAAGGTGTTCTCTTAATTTTTTAAATTTAAAGTCAGAAAACAAAGTTCTGTGGGTATCTAGATTAGAACTAAACGAGCCCTGTGAGAGAACATCAGTAAGGCAGGCCTCAACCTTGCCTCTTCCCACTCTTCACAGCGCAAGATCAGAAGTTACTAGAACAGCATATGGAGTTTTGAACTAAAAAGACAGCACCTTGTAAGAGTCTATGCCAAGTCTATGGTTGTCCCTGTGTGAAAGCCACAGAAAGATCCTAAGAAACATGGAAAGGGCTGTGGGGTCCCCGTACATTTTCTGGTTTGTCACTCGCTTGTGTTTCTGCTGACTCCTTGGCTGTGGGTATGCGGGTGCTCTTGTCACTCCTAGAAAGCCTTGCTGATGCAGCTACTCTAAGGACCCTGACATGCGTGCCATAGTTACATCGCTTTTCTCCCAGCAGGAGTGAGAAAGCAGGGAGATCATGCGTGAACCACTGCTTACCATCCCCAGGAAGTGCCTCATGCTGCTCCTTCTGGGTTCTTGGGCTGCATGAGCAACCTTAGCATTGGTCCCCGAGTCTCTGCCTCAACAATCTGGTGGACAAAGCCAACCCCAGTGCCTAATATCAGGGAGAACCTTTGCGGTTGCTTTTGCTGTGAGATATTTTCCACCATAAATATAGTTATCCAGTAGACAGTACGGATTCAGCAGAGGAAACTGGTGTTTCTCTTACTATTTGGAGTGGAGAGGAAAACTAGACAGTTCTGACTATCAAAGTCTTGAGATATATTCAGTACTTTCAGTTCTTTGATCTTCCTGGGCAAGATTTTTGAAAAGTAGGAACTTATTACTGTGTTTTTCCTCCCAAGGTTAACATCTTCTGTAGCATGTACAGTGTAGAAAATGCTTTTATTTTCTAGATTTGCAAATAGCCAAGAAGTTACATGAATAAAACGTATAAAAGGGAAAATTCTAGAATTAAAAACCTTCCTACTCTTTCCCCAACTTTGTCTAAAGTTAACCTTTGATTTGTGTAAGTGTTTCTATTTCTCCATTGTGTCTGTATGTTGTTCAGTGATTATAGACACTACTGATGCATTAGAAATACTTTAGTAAGAAAAAGACATGGAGCAGCCTGCAGACATAAAGGGGGGACTGAGGCGCTCCTTGGTTTTCAGGCCAGCGTTACAACAGGAAGTGGTGAGATAATGTAGATAATGGAGGATTCTTCTCCGGCTGTGTCATGCTTTTAAATTCCATAAAATCAAAAGCAATGCAAATCCCAACCTGCTTTCTCCACCACTGTTCATTTTACTATTTTGTTGCTTTTTATTTGCCACCATTTTGTCAGCACCCTTCTACGTACTGCGTTTCTTTCTTTTTACTATTAGTAGATGTTGCCAAGACATAGTATAGTGACGGTGGAGAATTAGCATGTATTCGGATTGTGTCTTCATGCTTTTTTTTAAAAAATGTATTTGGTTGTTACAGGGTCTCACTATGTAGCTTGGACTCATAGTGATTCTCTTGCTTTCAGCCTTCCCAGAGCTGGGATTACAGGCATCGCTGCACCTGGACTCTGCGGCCTGCTCAGCCCACCCTGGGAGCGGGACTGGCGTGGCCTGTGGTAGCTGGGGTTTGAACCGCGGTCCCTGGGCTTGCCTAAGCTTGCCTAAGCAGGAGCTTTAGTCTGCGGAGCTATCTCACCGGCCTCATGTCTTAAAGCTTCTTATTCTCCCTCCCGTCACCTCCCTCCATCCTCAAAGTCTACCTCCCTGTCATCTTCCTTTAACTGTGCTTTTTATTTATATTTTGGATTTCTCACATAAGAGAAAGCATGCCACATTTAACAGTCTGTGTCTGACTTTACTGAGCAGTACGGTCTCACGGTGCAGCCATTTCCTATAAGTGACTCAAATGTTTGTGACTAAGTAGTACTAGAAGTTAAGGAGATTCCCGTGCTGAGGCTAGGAGACTGGTTTTTTGAAGTTCAGGGAAAAGCAAGTCAGATAGAGCCTCTGGGCTCCCCCTGCTGGTGGCTGGCATCACCGCAGCTACGCTGTCAGGACAAGAGCCCATCCACCCAACACCGCCTGTTCAAATTATTTAGCAAGGGCTTGTCAAATAGCTCAGCGGATTACAGTGCCAAATAGCTCAGCGGATTAAAGTGCCTGTGAGCAAGTGCAAGACGATTCCCGGGCCTGCTGTGTCGACCCTGCCCCCAGGGTACGCTGAAACTGCAATTAAGACTGGGCATGGTGGTGCGTGCCTGTACTCCCAGCTCTTGGGAGGCTGTAATCAGACGGATCACTATGAGTCCAATCTAGTAGTGAAACTCTGAACACCCTGTAGACCCTTCCCTAAAATAAAATTAAAAAAAAAATAAAAAGTAAATACCCTACAAATTATTTAGCAAAAGGCAGGTCATAAGCCGTGTACCTTGCTATAGCAAAATACGAGACATCTACATTGAAAGATAAATGCAGGATATCACTTATTAACTAATGATGGACACTCTATGCAAGGACTTCAGAATTACTTTCGACAGCATCATCAATACATCAAAGTAATTTATCTCTTCTACAGATAAAGTATTAACTCAGTTAGGAGAAAAATCCAATTACTGATAATTTCTCCTTGGAACATATACATGTGAAAGGAATTTATTGTATCCTCAAGGGAGTAGCCCATGAAATAACATGATGTGCTTTGTGATCAACAGCAACATGTCAGGGGTGTGTGTGTGTGTGTGTGTGTGTGTGTGTGTGTGTTACACTCTGCTTACTCCTGCTATGTGTATACAGAGCCTTTTTGGCTCAAACCTATGAAATCCCTGGGATCTTCATAGATATGAGTTCTCAGATATCTGATACGGATAGCTTGGAAGTATGAACACACGTACTTCCTGCATTTATGCCTACAGGTCAGTTGTGTATAAATTATTTTAATGAACCACTTATAATTAGAAAGGAACTTGCCTAGGTTCTTAATGTCCTAGGTAAAGCCTGTTGATTTCTTTAGCAATAAAACTATGAGCTCATCTGTGGCCTGGAAGCTGGAGACAGCAGTTGTAATTTGTATCTGACTACAATATATATATATATATATATATATATATATATATATATATATTTCTTGCATTCTCAAGAGTTCTCATTGAGAGCCCATCCCTTCTGTTTTTCTGTTAAAAGTGACTTAACTTCTAGAACCTTCCCCAGCCACGATTTGACAGTTTATACTAAATTGCAATTTTTGTGCATTCTGACTTCATGTGGTGAGGGTGCTTCACAGACGCGACTCCTCCGTGACTGAAGCGCTGGGCTGGGCTCCTTCAGTCTTGTGATTCAACCTTCTCCCAAGGCTGATTCCCTGTCATTTTCACTTAGCCAGCAAGGTGGAAATGGCTTCCAGGAGTGGGGGCCACACTTAGCTTGAAACTAGTGTCTCAGGAATGCCATATGTCACTGCTGTCAGATTCTATTTGTTATACACGACTTCAAGGAAGCTGAGGAATGGAGGAAGTGTGATTAAAAAAATAACATGAATGTTTACATTTTAAAAACGTGTTACATTAAAAGGTACGCAGATGTGAACCTCCCTCCAATTCTCCCCCTTACCGCAAACACACTGATCTCGTGCGTCTTCTTACCACTCCCGAAGCGGTTCTGCGAGTCTTCTTTCCTGAGTATCTTTATAAAGTGTGACTGAAAATATGGTGAGCGCTGCTGCCCAGCACCATCCAAGAGAAAGGCAGGCTTCATGACATCCGAGGTGTCCTCACCCACCTTAGTCACTGGGTCTGTTACTGTGTGGCTTCTGGCTTCCCCACAAAGTCAAAATGGCAAATCTAGGCACACATTTTGAATCAGTTTAGGACATCAAGGCAGCCATGCCAGTTTCCTGAGCTGGAGGCACTCAGGAAAGATGACTGCCAGAGCTGCTTCAGACAGTGGCCAGAATGATGGTAACTATTCAAAGCGAGGGGGCTTTGTGGCAATGTGTCTTACTGTCGTAGGTTGTTTTTATTTAAACACACACTAGCTTTTCATCACACCCTGTAAGTTGTTGAGAGCTAGGGAAGAAGAGAGGGCAGACTCTGGGGCTCGGAAGAGACCCTGGAGGCACAAGCATGACCCGGCTGGTTTCTGCCTTCAGGTTGGAGCTCAACTGGCTGCTGATGTGGCTGTGGCAACCGCAGTGCCAGCCGGGGGGCCTTCTGTAGAGCTATCAGAGGCTGAGAAAGCAGCTACTCCTGCCGGGGAAGGAGAAGGTCCAGAGGAGGCCGCGGTTGACACCGAAGCCGCCGAGGCTGTGGACAGCGACAGGCCTCAGCCAGCAGCAGCAGAGACAGAAGCAGAAGGACCCCAGGTGAGTGCTCCACTGCAGGACCTTCTGGAACGGCCGGCTGAAGCAGGGAGGTTGGTTCATGGTGATGGCTCTTTCATGTGGAATGGGTTGGTAACCGTTCTGGGACTCCTTGCTCCCCCAAAAAGATTGTATGTCATTAATATCACAGAAAGCGTGACCCCAGCATCCACTCAGAGTCATCACTGTGATGTATACAGGCTCCTAGGGCCTCTGTCTGATGGGGTCTCCGCACAGAAAGGGGAAAAGAAGACCATGGGATAAAATGACACAGGCAAGAAAAAAGCAACATGGATGATGAAAAGATGGAAATGAAGCTGGGTGTGGTGACGCACATCTGTGACCTCAGCACCCTGAGAGAAGGAGGCAGGAGGATTGCATGTCTGCAATGACTGAGTGAGACCTTGTCTCAAAGTGAAAACTAAAAAGGGCTGAGGCTGTAGCTCAGTGGAAAGACCCCAGCTCCAATCATGAGTTCCTAAGTCAATAAATAAACATAATCCAAGACAGAAATGCAGGGTGGAGAGAAAAGAACATGGTAGATGGGGCTGTGACAGGGAAGCAGTCCTAAGGTGTCCCTGCAGGACTCAGGCAACTGCCAGGCACATGGTGAGAACTCAGCAGTAGTGAGGCCACACTGCTGTTGTTGCTTTTGCTTATCATCATTATCATCATCATCATCATCATCATCATCATCATCATCATCGTCATCATCATCATCATCATCGTCATCATCATCATCATCCAAGTGCCCCATACTCATTGCCAGGCTCTCACCAGGAGTCAGGTTCTGGGTTCTGTTTCTCCCACAGGAGGAAACAAGCCCTTAAGGACACAGAGCATCACTGAGTGTACACCTCACAGCCTCTGTGACAGAGACAGAATGGCCTCTGCAGAAATGAGTGTGGCCCACTTGGAACCATGCTGGGTTGTCATTTTCCGGGTTGTCCGCAGCCCCCATGATGCACTCTTTCCCTCTTTAGGTTGGCCACTGTTCCCCAGGTTCACATTCCTCATTCTCCCGTGTGGTGGTGGAGTCCTGTTCTGAACCACAGGAAGGGCTTAGTACCTTGGGAAAACAGAGAAGGCCAAGGCCCTGCAGAGACCCAGGGTCAGAAAGGCTGTGGGGCTGGGGAAACAGTGGGTTGTTAGTGAGAAGTGGTGATTGTGGGACAGGAGTCAGGGCAGGTGATGGAGGACACAGTCACCATGTGTTTCAAGCCCTTCCAGAAACTACCAGCACCTTCTCTTTCTTCCCTCAGGAGAAAGTCATCCCTTCTGTGATCATCGAGCCCGCCTCCAACCATGAAGGGGATGGAGAACACGAAATAGCCCTGAGTGCAGAGACCAAAGACAGCCCTGAAGACGTGGTTCCCGCAGGACCTGTGGACAAGACACTGGAGCTGGCCACAGAGCAGAAGCCCGGGGAGGATGCCCAGACCGAGCCTCCTGCAGGCCAGGCTTCCCAGGAACTGCCTCCTGGCTTTCTCTACAAGGTCCTCTCTTGCCCTTTGTTTGCTTTGAGTCCTTTTGGCTCCAACCTTTAATTTTCCTGCACTTTACTTCTTGCAACAGATATGTTGCTTCTCAGAACTATTTTCCCTTCCTTCCAGCTACCACCAAACAAGCAAGGACCATAGAGATACTTTCCATGTTTTCACAAAGAACAAGATGCAGTCTAGATGCCTGTTTTCTATTACTATCACAAGATACGTAAGACTGAGTGCTTTATATAGAAAAGAGGTTTGTTTGTCTTACAGTTCTAGAGGTCCAGGGCCTGGTGAGGGCCTCTTCTCAGTGCCACAAGGTAGATGGTGCCATTCAAGAGGGAGAAATCATAGGGTGAGATGGGAAACTGGAGTGCAGGAAGGGTCAGCCTTACTTTTACAATCATCTCCTCACAGAACCAATCAAGCTCTTAGGAGATTCACATGAATCCCTGGCCTCCCACAGCTTCTACTCCTTGAAGTTCCCCTACTTCTCACATTATAACATTGAAAACTAATCCTCTAGCACATAAACCTCAGGGAAGAAATCACACTGGAACTGTTAGGTTTTTCTGGTTCAGTGAGAAGCAGAAGTGAGTGGGTGGGCTTTATTAATCTTGAGGAGATCTCAGTGAGATAGGGCTCCTCTGACCTGAGACAAAGGAAGGGTGAGATTTGTGGATTTTTGCTAAGGGCAGGGTTTGAGGGACAGCTTCAGTGACACCTCAGGGGTCTTCCTTGTGGCTCAGGAAAGGTAAAAGGAAGTTGTATTGAGGACTAGGTTGGGAGTGAAGGAAGAGATGCTCTCTGGGAAGACAAGCTGCTGTCTTTGGAGATTCAGCCATGTTGAATCAGGGCCATGCTAATTTAACAGTTTGTACTCAGGCCGAAACCTGTCAGGAACCACGGCAGGGTTCACCATGTAGCTTGATCTTGTTATCCCATTTACGGAACGTTTCTAAGAGTATCTGCTTACAATCTAGCTAGGAAATCTCATTTTACATGTTCTTTCTTCAAATATATTTTTAGGTGGAAACACTGCATGATTTTGAGGCAGCAAATTCTGATGAACTTACCCTTCAAAGGGGTGACGTGGTGCTGGTGGTCCCCTCGGATTCAGAAGCTGACCAGGTAAAGAATAAGAGTGGAAGATGCTTCAGCCCACATTAGTTTTTCCAGAGAAACAAGTGGATCCTGGCTTCCCAAAGATAATTCTATTTTCCAAGATGCTATAATCCAACTCTGAGAAGGGTTTAATGGCTTAATAGCTACAGCATGCATCATTAATTTGCTTTTTGACTTCCTTTAGGGATGCTGTTACCTATTCCTTTTTTTTTTTAACACAATTTAATGATTTTCTGTCTGTCTGTCTGTCTGTCTGTCTGTCTGTCTTTCTTTCTTTCTTTCTATGTATTTGGTACAGAATCTCACTACACAGCTCAGACTTGTAGTGATCCTCCTGTTGTCTGCCCTCCCAGCTCTGAGATTACAGGCATGTGCCACCATGTCTGGTCTTGGTGGAGGGCTCAATGCACCTGTGGGCAGGTCCGGTATGGCATGCAGTACTGGACACTGAACCTGGTCCCTGCACTTGCCTAAACAGGCGCTTAGTCTGCTGAGCTATCTCACTGGTCCCACCTTTTCTTATCCTTTAACACTTTCTATGTATTAGAGATTCAGGTTCAGCTGTTTGCTACTCAAAAGCCAATATGAGGAGGGTTGATGGGAAAGAAATCAATTTTATCTAAGGGCCAGCACTCTGGAAGATAGAGAGGGCTGTCATTCTATGATTTTAGAGAACTCAAGCGTGAAAAGGTTTTGACACATGAAAACCTTTGGGGACAAACTCCATCCATGCCACATCAGATTGCCATATGAAGCTTCTTTGTTTTATCCCAGTAGGGAAATTTTTCTAAGAATGGCTTCTTATAATCTGGCTAGAAAAGAAAGGAGCAGGAGACAAGGAGCAGGAAAACTATATGCCAATAGGGGTGCCCATGTAGAGCAGAAAGGAATGTCTCCCTCTCTTCTTCTCTGGCTGGAACAGTTCAGTGAACCTTGACCTCCTGAATCTGGTTCCTACTATTCCTTAGACACATGTTACTTTTCTCGGAGTTAAAGCTCAAAATTGTTTACACACATTCTGTATGTTAGTTCATGGAGAAAACTAAAGCTGAAGGAGGGGCTGCTGTATGTCCTGATATATTCTATAGATCATCAGATGTTTTGGGTTCTGTAAGTATAAAGAAAGACTAGCAGTAAGACTCTCAGGCACCTAGGTGCAACTTCTTTTTAGAAGTAAAATGCTAGGTAAAGGCAGCAATAGTGTATTAGCCTTCCCATTGCTGGCCTCAATATGCAACACCACAATTTAACTAAGGAGAGGTTTAATTTGGCTTCTGTTTTAAGGGAATTCAGTCCATGGCAGTTTGGCTCCAACACAGAAGCCTCATGGAAGAAGAATGTGGTAGAGCAAAGATACTTAATTCATGGCCGGCTGGAGAACAGAACAGGGAGATGACATCAGGGAGGAAGGGACAAGGTACTAGACATAGACCCCAAGGTCATAGCTCCATGACCACCCCCCCCAGACACACATACACATGTGTCTCACTAATTCCCAGGATGGATCCCAGAGCCGTTCAGTTTGACACAGTCAAGCTTAACTATCACAGACAGTCACCATGGAAAAGAAATGGCCCTTGTTACTCAGAGATGTTGTATTTGTAATGTTAGACTTCAGGAAGTGCAGACACTCTGTGAACTAAAAGTCCACTTCAAAAATAATTGCCTAGGGTCCGGGGAGATAGGCCAGTAGAATAAGCACCTGCATGTCAAGCACAAGGGCTTGAGTTCAATTCCTGGTTCCACCAAAAAATAAACAATAAAAATAAATAAATAAATAAAATTGCCTGTAGGGGTATGGAGGGTCACTGGGAAAAAACATGGAAGAACTTCCTGGGGAGGTAGAAGTTCTAAGCATTATATTTTTTCTGTTTAATTTTTTATTTTTATGAAAAAAATAAAAGTCACAGCAAGTAAGATAATGACAATAACTAATATACTGTGTATCATTTTCTTCAATTACTCAGAGTAAAAGACATGCGCAGAAAGGTTCTTCTTTCTTACAAAGAAAAAATCAGATAATAGCACAAAACTTTCTTTTCAGTGAGTGAAGAGAAACTCATATAAGTGAAAAATTAGCATATATACTAAAATAATTTTGAAATAGGAAAACAGAGATAATTTAGGGAATTGTTTGAACTTCTGCCTACTTCCTAGTTATTTATCTTCTATTTTGCTCTTTATTTGTGTACATATTTTTTGCTAGTTTCTCAAATAAGAGAAACAGTATATTTAATCTTGTGACTGACCTATTTCACTTAGCCTCATGTTCTCAAGTTGCCCAATTGCGTACAAATGCCTCCAGTTTACATTTAGGACAGAGCAGGATCCCAATGTATGAGTACCACATTTGCCTTACCAGTTCATCTGTTGATAGACGTATACGTTGTTTCCAAGATTTAGCAGTGAAATTGTTCTGCTGTAAGCATTCACGTGCATGTATCGCTGTAACGCACTGATCTGAACTCTTTGGGAAAGACACCTAAAAGGGGAAGAGCTGGGTCACATGGAATTTACACTTTTAGCTTTTTACGGGACCTCCACACCAAATTCCAAAGTGGCTTCCAAAGTTTTTTGGAAGAATTGTCTGGGGCTGGGAATATAGCTCAGTGGTGTAAGTGCCTGCCTGGCAAGCACACGGTACCAAGTTCAATCCCCAGATCAAAAAAAAGAAAAGAAAAAAGAAAAAAAAATAATCTGATCAAATTTTATGGGTTCACATAGTGAACTCCTAAAATGATACGCAAATTGAGCATAAATGAATATATAAATGTTTTTTCTGGACAGAACTGTAACTACTATACATTCCATATGTAGACTTATGCGGCCTTATCTGAAATATGAATTTAAGTATTATAGCTTTTGAGATTTAGGATTCAGATGTCTAATATTTTGTTCATTTTTTGATAATACAGCTACCAGCACAATCAACCCACCAAAGAGCCTCTGCCATAATGACATTAGGTTATGGCAGAACATATTTTTAAAATATATTTTTAAAGCTCCAAATATCAAAAACATTTAAAATACATTTCTAAATTATATATAGGCCAAAAATCTCAGTGGCAAAACGTTTCACAATGGTCACATTAATTCTAAGTTTTAAGCCCAAGAAAACAGGAAGAGGAAAAATGAAGCAAGTGAAGAAAATAATAAACCTAAATAGAAAGGGAGCCTCACAATGCAGTCAATAAAGCCAAAAAGCTATTCTTTGAAAATATTAATACAAGTATTAAAATTGCATACTTTTCAAGAAAAAAGTGAAAAAGCATAAGCTTCCAATATGGGAAAAAGTATAAAATCTCTATGCATCTCAAAAACATTAAAAATTCCACTGTATAATTTTTTCCTTAGCTCTAAGTCTCTTTCAAGGAAATGAGAGAAAGAAAGCTAGTTATGTGTAGCTCATACATGTTTTCCATGTCCCTGCTCTCCATTTCTTCCTATACATCTGAGTTTCTATGTGTTCTTATTTTCTTTTGGCCTTAAATATTTCTTTTAGTGTCATATTTTATAGCCACGAATCCTCTCAGCAATGCTTGTCTGAAAATATCTGCATTCACAGTCTTTTTTTTTTTTTTTTTTTTTTTTTTTTGAGATAGGGCTTCATTTTATAAGAACCTGGAATGCACAGAGCTCCTTTTACCTCAGCCTCCTGAGTGTTGAGATTGTAGGCATGCATTACTATGCCTGGCTTCATATTAATTATTAAGGATATATTCATTGGGAGAGACTTTCTTTCTCTCTCTCTCTCTTTCTCTCTCTTTCTTTCTTTCTTTCTTTCTTTCTTTCTTTCTTTCTTTCTTTCTTTCTTTCTTTCTTTCTATTTCTCCTTTGATACAGGATATTTGCTAGGCAGCTCAGACTCATAGTGATCCTCCTGCTTCAGCCTCCCCAGCACTGGGATTACAGGCGTGCGACACCACTCCCGGTTTCAGTGGCCTGTGGTACTGAGGATCGAACCCTGGTCCTTGCACTTGCCAGGCAGATGCTTAGACCCTGAGCTGTCTGCCCAGCCAGGGAAAGACTTCTGAGCTGACTTTGTTCCTTCAGTTCTTCAAAGATGTTTGTCTGTTTTTCTGGTCTTTATAATTAGAAATAAGCAATCATTTGTTTAATATTGTTTCTCTGTACACAGAGACTTTCTTTGTATTTTTGGTTTTTGTCAGTTTGCCTAAGGTGTTTTGTGACTTTATACTTAGGGTTCATTGAGACTTAGACATTTTCAGAGTTGTAATCTAGTAATTTTTCTTATAGTTGGGGAATTTAAAGCTTATATTGAAGCCATTTCTTTAATTTTTTCCTGCTACATTCTCTTCTTTTTAATGTTCATTTATCCTATGTTCAGTTCTTTGATGTTTAAGATATTATTCTTTTTATCAATGTATATTTTTCATTAGTGGCCAGGTTGAATAATTTCTATTGTCCTGTTTCCTAGTACTGTTACTATTTCTTCCACTACTTTGAATTTGTTGCTACCCTTATGCAATGACTTTTCCATTTCAGTTATTACACTTACACTATTCTTTTCTTTTCTTTCTTTCTTCTTACAGTTTCCATTTCTTGGTTAAGATTTCCCATCTAAGGCCAGCAAGATAGCTCAGCAGTCTAACACACCTGCTTAGGCAAAAGTTCAGGGACTGTGGTTTGATCCCTGGCACCATAAGCCGTGCTAGCCCTGCCCTCAGGGCGGGCTGAGCCAGCTACACACACACAAAAAAAAGATTTTGCATCTATTCTTTTATTATTACCATCCATTTAGGTACCTTAGTATATTTATAATAGCTACCCTAAATATTTCACTGCTAATTCCAAAGGTGTTGCCATTTCGGGGCACGTTCCTGTTACCGCTTTGCTTTTGCCTTTGGGTCTCCTCCTCTGGCTTTCCCTCTTGTCTCCTCATGATCACATAACCTCTTGTAGAAACACGGATTCTGCTTTTTATATCTGAAGGTTATTTTTGTTCTTTCAGGCATTGGTCGGCATTACTGGGTAATTGCCTTGTAATTATTTGCGGAAGTTCATTTTGTACTTTGTTAAGGTGGAAGACCTTAGTCTTAGCATAAATTCCCGCTCATGAAATGTTGTCTGTACCTCCAAGACATGAATTCATGGAGTTTTCAGTAAAATTCCAGCTGTAGGGATTATCAGTCCCCCTAAGGGTGAAAACTCTCAGCTCTGCCCTTCTCCTTTCCACTGGTAATCCTAAAATCTCTGCTCAGGTTTTCAGCTGTCCCACTGTCATTTTCCACCATCTTTTTTTTTTTTTTTTCAGAACCAGGGATTGAACTCAGGCCCTTGTGCTTGCCAGGGAAGCACTTATTCTACTGAGCCATCTCCCCAGCCCCTCCACCATCATTTTTGAATGTCTTGTGTGAGGACAAGCTTGGGGTTCAGTCTAGGATTTTAGAGCAGTTTCTCTGTGGATGGATGGGGCTGTGCCTCCCTCTTCTTCAGGATATTCCCTCTCTTAAAGATACAGTTTCCCTTTAACCTCTGTCCTCTGAATGCACTGTTATGTGGACTGAAGACAGTCCTCAGGGAAAGGCTGTTTTAGAGTAGGTCTCATCTTCTATAGCTCCCTGCTTTCGTTTTTTCTTTTTCTTTCTTTTTTTTTTTCTTTTATCTTTTTTTTTTTTTTTTCGGAACCAGGGATTGAACTCAGGCCCTTGCACTTTCCAGGAAAGCACTTATTCTACTGAGCCATCTCCCTGGCCCCACCTGCTTTCAAAGGTTAACTATCCTTCCATTGTTCATTTCTGGTGCCTTTAAATAGTTACACCCATGATTTGTGCCTACCTCTTCATGCATAAATGCATATTATTTTAAATATTTTATAATAGTGAATTTTTACACAGATTCATGCATACACATATGTATTTAGAAATATATAGCTACTCTAGCATTTTTATTACTTTGAACAGAAGCTTTTGTCTAATGTAAATTGTTCCACCATTGTCAGAACTGGAAGACCTTGTCTGCTGTGTGTTTTAAGCAGCTAAAATTTAGTTTTCATCCACTGAAGATGGATATTGGCTAATATCCTTCAGTTTACAATTTAATTTGCATTTCGGAAGATATGTGTTGAAATATATTTTATTATGGGTTTGTGAAAGCCCTTTGTTCTTATTCTTTATCGAGACCATTTTCAAATGCTTGGCTCATCTTGGTCCCATTAAATTTTTCACACACTGTAAATAAAGTCACATGTAGACACTGGTGGGGGGAAATGACCCTTTACAAGCACACACAAGGTTTAGAAAATGTTTGTTGTCACCTCTTACTTTAAGTATAACTTCATCCTTCATAAATATGACATTATAATTTTAAAGAGGTCCCTTTTTTTCATCAGCAAGGGAATTGCAAGTTATTTTATGGGATCATTTTTATTCTTTTTTTTTTTTTTCTGTCTTCAAAAATTGGCCTGTCAGGGGCTGATATTTCTTGTCTATGTGGCAGCATCAATTTACAGTCTCAGATTATATCAAAAGGGAATGTACGCAGTTTCTCCATTTAATTTTTGAGACCTCATGTTATCTGATGTACTTGAACCCTACCGGTGAATGGTTGTCATTAACTCTAGCCATCCTCATCATAGGCGGGGTCTCTTTCCTGTCCTTGTTAACATAATAAAGATAGTCATTTCCTGTGAGCTTGACCCCGTGCCGTGTGCACATTTCCTATGGTTGCAACTCAGCTGCTTCCAGCTAAACTCTGTACAGCTGCTACAGGCCAAGGGTACAGTGCAGCCTCTACCTCTCTGTTTTGAGTAACACCTTGAATTCTGTATGCCCTTTCTGTGGCTAAATGTCTTCGTTTTTTATGGTGGAAGTTCTATCTAACAAAGGTTGAATTATAAAGAATTTATGAATGTCTCTAACAAGAAGCCCATAACATTGAGCTACTTTGTAGTTTGTGTGAACTTGGAAAGCCAAGTTGTGGTACTAATAATAACAACAAGCAGAACTGTGTCAGGCAGCCTACATCTGGCTGATAGCAGATGGCAAACCCCGTGATTCCTTGGATTTGTGAGGGACAGAGTACTTTCTTAGAAGCAAGTGACCCAGGATGAAAGATAAGACGCTCTATGGCCTCATCAGCATGATATTCTAATCAGGGATCCTCAGGCCTGAGGCCACCGTGACCCTAATAGTCCTTTAAGCTATATTTTCACTTGAATTCCTTAAGAACAACTATCATAATGCAGCTGATGTCAATGCACAATGTTTTATACAAAATCAGAACGTTAGCCCAGAATGTCAATGTAATCTTTGATTAACTATAATTTACACAGTAAACATGATATACGGCAGAGCACTGTGGTTTGTGTTTAAATTTTAAAATGTGTGACAATTAAAGAGACACTGCTGTTATCACCTTCAAAATATTTCCCTTCTCTTGCAGCACACTTGCCCATCATTCTCGCCACTTTCAGAAGCAGGTCTGGGAGTCCTCTTTCATGAGAATCTCTCCTTATGCTGTCAGGGCTACCTTGATGTCCTGAACTGATTCAAAATGTTTAGCTTTGAGGGTCATTTTGACCTTGAGAAGAGCCAGATCTGGTTAAAAAGGTGGGTGAGGGTGCACTGTAACGTGTTTACACCCTTGCCTTCCCACTGGATGGCTCTTGGCAGTGGCACTTCCTGTACTTCACATCGCATCTTATAAAGACATTCACAAAAGACTTCCAGAACTGCTTCAGAAAACAGTGAAAATCATGAGATAAGTGTGTCGGAAGGGAGGGCAAGAGGGGAATTAATAGCAATTCCTCTCTTACTGTAATACATTTTTAATTTAAACATTAAATCTATATTTATATCACATCTCATGCAATATTTTCTATGACCTTCTCAACACAATAACCAGAGTTCCTTATGCCTAATTCACCATGACCTGACCTCCAGGATAGGTATATTCCTGCAAGCTACATTGTTACACTGCCTTTACTTCTAACAACTTGTATCATAATCCAGTGACTATTAGTTAATTGTGCTTTACACAAAATTGTAACATCAGCCCTCATCTTGAGTCAACTGTACTTTATACAGTACATAAATAATTTCAAATGGTTAGTCTTTATTTTGTTTTTACTACCACATCATTTGTGATGTACCTTGTCCCTGATCATGCCACTTTTCATGTTCTGTGATGTGATGGGAGGAACCACACTGGTTGCAGTTCTTGGTAGTCAGTGTTTCTCCCTAGTTCTTGGGCTCTGACCACCTCCCTGTCTTGCAGGATGCAGGCTGGCTGGTGGGAGTAAAGGAATCAGACTGGCTTCAGCACAGAGACCTGGCTGCCTACAAAGGCCTCTTTCCAGAGAACTTCACCCGGCGCCTGGAGTAGGGCTGCAAGTGTTGCACAAAGAGCTGGACGACTGGGTTTTTAAACCTTTATGACATCCTGAGGAGTTCACTTTTGCTATGATACTCTTAACCATTTCCAGACTGATGCCAGACAAAGATTGGGAAGACCTATCAGTAGAGCGTGTTTGCCAAAATAAACAAACAAATGTAAGAGGGAAACAAACAAATGAAGAAAAAAAGTCCTCACTTTGTTCCCATGGGGTCCATAACAAGTTGGTTTGTGCTTTGTCCCAGCTGTGGACACTCTTGTACTTGACTGCCCTTCCACTGGTTCTAAAGTAGCTTTCTCCAGACTGGACTTTAATTTCTCTGCACCAAGTATGTGCTACCCAGTGTCTGCCCTGCAGAAGATGTGATGAAGTTTCCCTTAGTACAACTTGATCTTACTCCCCTGCCCAGATGTGAGCACGTTCTCTCTCTCTCCCTTTCAAGTTTACTGTGTTTAAAATTAATCTGCTGCAATGTTTTCAATGGTCTCTTCCCACACACCTATCTACACGTACCTATGGACACACAGTCGCACATGCTAGTTCCACCAACCGCTGGATCTATGTGTATGCAGAAGGCTACATATACATAGTTGCTTTCTTTTGTTTCCATTGTAGCTCTCTGCTGCTTGAGTGTCACTGATGCGTGCGTTGCTCTTACTCTGTCTGGCATTACAGTCGCAGAAGCAGCCATCTCATTGCCAAAGCAGTCAACAGTATCTGTGTTTGTCATATACGCGGTTTTCAGGATGAGAGTGCAGCATGTCCAGAGCTGCTGCCCTTTTGGAGAAATGCAGGGTCTTATTGTGCAGCTGCCAGCTGCTCTGTTTGGAGGAAGGCGAGTCTGGGAGCAGCCGCTATGGTCTTCACTCCTTCCTGACTTTAGGAGTTTGGCAGCAAGATGAGGCATATTACTTCGGCCCCAGTGAACCAATTTAAAGGAGCTCCTATATATTTCCACCTCTTTCTATTTATGCAACTCATCTCCACATGTCATCCTAAAAGAAGAATAGGTGGTGTATGCTGTATCCACAAATCACTTGTAACAGTCATGTTTTCAGTGCTGTGTCATTCCAAATAAACCTTTGGTAATCTCCAACAATTACCCTAAATCCTTTTTATGAGTCTTTTGTCCCCACTTTTTAAAATCCTGTTCCATTTGGACACACTGGTTGAAATGATTCACGTTGGAGTTGTTATTTGTGCCAAAAATGCTTCTTCCTTCACTGAGTTGTGCTTCATGGTCTCTCTTTACCCCTATTCCTCCTTCATTCCGGTCATTGCTGGTCATTCTGTGTCCGTGGTGACCAGCAATTACTGCAGCACAAATAACAGCTATGCAGGGAGACCCCAGAAGGTGCCTCTGTGGACTCCCAGTCTGAATTGCTGACAGTCATAGGACCTCCATAATCAGCAATTTCTTCCCATGCCAGCTTCATTTTTTTGGTCACTTTTCTGTCTGGCATGTTTATGTTTCAGGTACATGAGACTGTTAGAGCAGACAGAATAGAAAAGTCAACGCACAGGACCACGGCCTGAACTCTTCAATCAAAACCTATTTCACTTTTACTTGAACTCTTCTGTTAATATAATTCTGTCTACCGCAAAGGCTGATCAAGAACATGCATTCTTAGACTTTTAAGTGTGGTGTATATTTTCGACTCATAGTGCAAATTCTCCTGGTGGATTAGTGATTTTGATGTTTTAAGTGTTAATAGGGAAATATTGTTATTAACTCAAGAGTTTTCCAAGGGCTAATTTATAAGAAAACCAGGTCATCAGAAATGATCATCTAGTATAAACGAATATCATGCTAGCACCCCGCAACATGACTAGCAACTCAGGATGTGAGATGCAGTGAGACTTAGCACAGAGAAGCCATTCTTGGCATTAAGAGTGCACAAGGGGTGCTAAAAGCCAAGGCTAAAAAATTTGTCCTAGTAAAAAAGTGCACCTAATATATGACAAAGACAATCGCCACACCCTCTGAAGCAGTCATTCTTAAATTCCTGTCACACCGAGGCACAGGGTAGCTCTCATTGAACAATTTGGCAGGGCAGGGCCAAGATAAATTTCACTTTGAACTTCCTAGATGAATTTACCTATGCAAAGCGAACTAAATCCTCTACAATGGTATGCTTTTAAGTGGCCTTTTAGTCCTTCTTTGTTTTTTTGGGCACTGAGCAACAAGTTTCCCCATTCAGAAACTGCCAAGATCCAAGGATTCCCAGTGTCCTGAAATGGATGAATTGGAGGTGATGGGGATCAATAGGGTTATTCTCCAGAAATGGCCTCTGACGTGGAGAGAACATTCTCTCCAATTGCAGTGTATTCTCTAGCAGATATGTGAAAAGTTCAGGGGCTCCCTGTGGTTCCGCAGGTCTTTCAATGTTCCTTTCTCAACCTACTTTAGGGTCCCACACCACCAACCTGCTCTCAGCACATGACCTGACTGTATGCTGGTGAGTTTGCATCTGTGCATTACACCAGATCGCCTGGGCCCAGCTGGCTGGGTCTCCCCGCCTGGGCCCAGCTGGCTGGGTCTCCCCTCGGTGTTTTCAGGCTGCACCTGCAAACCAACGACACAGACCTTCAAATAGTTCCAAATCAGGAAAGGGAAACCTGTGGTTCTTAGGGAGCACACACCTACCTGTCATTCCTACCTGGGCCTCCGGGAATCCCTCTAATATAAACTTGGGTGGGAGCGATGGCTGCAAAAGTTCTCTGGCAATATGAATTTGTAATAATCTCTCAGGGTCCCAGAGACAGGAAAGCTCCATGTACCAAACTGCTGACACTTCAACCCACAGGCTTTTTCTGAAAAACCTAGGATGGCTTTTGAGTTGACCAGAGAACCACATCCATCATGTTGTGGGATTCTGGGCAGAGCATGAAGGTTTAGAATTCTGGAGCTCTTTCATGATGAAAAGAAGCCTCTAATCAGGCTATTGGGGAAATCCTGCCATATCCCACAGTGGCCCGGTAGTGGCACATTATAGAAAACACTGTAGGAAACCCTAAATGATGACTGAAGCTCTGTGTTTTATCCACATAAGTGCATGCTGGAATACCATGAAGCCTTAAAAATAGACAGGCCACAGATTGGCCTTACTGGCGGGACTCTAGTCATCTTTCCTAAGGGGCCCAACTAAAAGCTGTCTTCTGGTTTTTCTTGGACAACAACAAAAATCCTATGAACAATGTATGTCAGATCTTGTCGTAGAATGCAACACTTGGTGTCTCTTGCATCACTCCCGCACTTGATTGGGTGGCTGCTGTCTTCCCAGCCTGTGCCCCCTTCCTGGGATGCAGATAAATGGAATGGGATATTTGGTGGCTACACAGAAAAGACGATGACCAATGTTCTTAGCCAACCTAGGAAATCAAGCTCCGTGTGGTTCTACTTGTCTCTGAGGCAGCCCCATATCCTGTCTTAGATCTTCTGATTTAAGATTATCCTATCCTGCTGGGCCAGGGGGAGACCATCCTGCTATTCCATGAAGACTCCTCAAGGTCCAAGCAAGTGTTTGTGAGATTGTTCATGAAAGCTAAATAAATAATACTGGGATAAACTGACTCATCCTTTTAGATATTCTCTGGGTCCTTGGCTATACTATACAAAGACTGCTTAGTGACCATCCACACTGACTTCCATTTCAAAGGCAATTTTGACCCAACACATACATCTGTGAAAATCAAGAGAAAAGCCAGTTAGGTACTCAAGCTCTTTCAAAGGAAATCTAAATTTTCTCTTAGCTTCTGAAAATCCAGCTAATTCCCAGTCCCATAAAATCTCAGGTCCAGTACTCAGGTTCTTTGTTTTCTGAAGGTCAGGCTAGAGCGGTCTGGTCATTTCTCTTCTCCTGCATCCTCCAGAACAAAGTGTGTGTGCAGCTGGCTCTCAGACAGCAAGTCCTGCACTTTCTTATGCTGTGTCAATGCAGTGCATGGCCTGAGCACCTTTTCTGTAATCACATTACCATGTGGATGATACCCTGACACCAGCTTCCATCAATAAACATTAGTATAGCTAGTGTTGTTCTGTCATTCACCAGCAACCACTAACTGAGGCATGTGCTGATGCTATCAAACCAGGTTCTCCCTAAAATTCTAAAATATTAATTCTCTTTATTAATTCCTCTCTGGTTGTTCCTTTTCTGCCACCTTTCTTTTTCTTTCAGTGTTTTTGGGAACAGGGTTTGGGGCCAGGTGACTTCAATCTCCCCCCTTTGGCTTGTATTCAGCTCTCCAAGGAATGTTCCTCCAAGGGATGTTGTTGTCTTCATGTCCACGTGCCCTTTTGTTCCTTAAATATTTTTCAAGCTCTTGCTAGGTGTCAGTTACTGTGTCTTGGGGACACATTTTACCAAACTTTCTTAGACGTGTCAAGATACCACCATAGGGCTCTCCATTTCTCACACTCTGAATGCCAGTGCCGCAGTCTTGGGAGCTTCCTCCTGTGCTTCATTTTTCTGGATGACAAACACCTGCCATTATCGCTCTCCTCAAGACATCAGGCCACTTCGTACTTTGATGTTCATCGCCTGACCTAGTAGCATCCTTCCCACTGCTAGAGAGATACTTACACTGCTTCTTCTCTCCCTACTTTCTGTCTTTCCAGTTTTTCCACTGCCCAGCCTATTTCATAAACCCAGCATGGATGCCAGCATATTACCATCCCCTCTCCTTGTCATACTCCGACTCTAGTGATGACCTTCTGGGCTATGTTGTAGACCACATCAAATTGCAGTGCCACTGCCTGGCCTCAAAAGTCCCCACATCATCACCAGTTTTCATCTTCTGCTTTCATCAGATGAGTCTCCTCACTTCCCCACCCCTTCTTTCCCATCCCCGGGCCACTCCTTTGCACATCCCTCTGTTGGGCCACTCGCTCTCTTTTTTGTCTCCATCCCAAGGGCACAACTCAAGCCTGACCTCTTCATGGAAGGCCTCTCCACTGCTCATTCCTGTGCCCTTATCCGCTCTATCACATGCATTCTAAATAGGATGTCCTTTAGCCTTTTGCTTCCTCTGTTAAGTGACAAGATACCTATCGACACCCTCTGTATTCTACATCCAGCCTAGGATCTTATGTATATACTTGTGCTGAATGAGTAAGGGACCAACTTACTGGTTGGCTCAGGATACACCCAGAAAGTTCCAATCCATAGATCAGCAATACAAGAAAATCTGAAAGTAAATATAAGAAGAAATGAAAATTGGAGAGTGAAAACTTTTCTACACAGTACACAGAGTATAATGGCAAAAGAAAGAAAAAGAAATTCCACATAAAGAACAAGAGCTTGACCACAAAATTTAAAATTTCCATTTAATAAAAAGACACTGGAGATAAAATTATCAGACAGACAGATGATAATGCTTCTTCATATATCTATAACTTCCCAAACTATAATACACAGACCAATGGTTCAAGAAGAAATGCATTTCAATAATTACTACTATAATTGCATTTTAGTATATATTAGCATTAATTTATATATAATAACTGATAGGAATAGTAAATATAGTAATAACCTTTGTCACACATTTATAAGTTACCTGATGCTGTAAAGATTCTATATGTTTGAGTTCATTTAATCTTCACAAACCTATGAGGCAGGCATTGAACTGTTTTTACTTCTGACAGACGAAGCTAGAGGACCATGATGGAAAGCAACTGGCTCAAGTCACACAGATGGCAGTGCCAACCCATGTACAACCCAGGCCAACTGGCCCCAACTCTAGCTCTGCTATTCAGACTTCTCTTGCCATATGTAAAGGACACACATAGGCAGGAAGCTTGAAGGAGATGCTGCAAGGCAGGGAAGGCATCAGAAGTGACCCTCAGCTTCCTCATAATCAGA